GTGTCAAAAAGCCGGGGCAAAGATGTGCGTCTTCAGCATTCTCCGAAAGCTGTGTAATGAAGATGCAAGACCCACATCTGTGGGGAGGCAGTTCCACAACTTAGGAGCTGCCACAAAGCATGCCCTCTTCTTCGTTGCTGCCACCACCCAAGTTTCTCAGGGCGATGGAACAACCAAGAACCACCCCCCCCCCGCTGATCATAGCACCCAAGGGGGTCAGTCGGGAAGGAGGCAGTCTTTCAGATATTTGGGGCTTGATCTGCTTAGGACTTTGAACACTAACAGGAGCACTGTTTCTGGCTATAAGTTGGCAACAAGGGCAGCTGTTTTAAAGCAGGGGCTATGTTAAGCTCTCTATGGAACCTCAGCCAGTAATTTGGCTACTGCATTTTGGACCAATCGAAGTTGTTACCTCAAGGGGCACGTGGTATTATGATCTTCCTACTCTCGTGTAGGACCCTGGTAGAGACACATGCCCGACTGGCATGTTCTCTCCCTCCTGGTCAATCGTTCAGGAGCTTCAAAAGCTTTCTTATTCCCGAACATCACAGCGACTAATACCAAAAAGCATCAACACACTTAGGAATCTGCAGAGTATTGGTGGTTCGCGTAACAGACTCAATAGCTCAGCATCTTGGCTAATCTACTTTATTTACATATAATACACCCGGAGCATTCTGGCTTAGCTCCTTCCTCTTTCTCATCAGACAGCAAAGAGAGAAAGAAACAAAGGACAATAGTCCCACTTTTCAGAACACAGTAACACAAAACATCCTGTCTCCGTCACTTCCCACACTGTGGAATGAAAACATACACTGTCATGTGATAGACAACAATCCCATGACTGCAAACACGGAGCAAGAATCCTAACACGTGGAGTGTTTCCCACTTATCTAGCCTGGAAGTTACCAGAGCATGGAGTACAGTAGCCAAGCCATTTTTGTCCGTTTTCGTCCATAAGGGGCTGTCGCTGGTTAACCAGCCAGAACTGGAAAAAGGGTACACCTGGTCACCAAAGCCAGTTGAAGTGACAATAACAGTGCTGAATCAAGAAGTACCCCCAAGCTGTGGACCTACTCCTTCTAGGAGAGTGCTACTTTGTGGAAACAGCCCTGGAGGCAGGAGTGTGATGACTGAAGTACAGTGCCACCAACTCACCAAGATGGTCCAGAAGAATACTATGGTCAACAGAAAAAAAAGAGCCTGGCTTTCATGTTGATGATTAACTAATGGTTAATTCATCCATGGCAAATAAGCAGCCACAGCGAGCCAAACCAATCGCCTGCCAAGTCCGGTGTTCTTGCCTCTAGCAATAGACAATGCCAGATGCTGCAAAGAAAAGAGCTATGAAACAGGAGCAGTTTGAGAGTGAATGGGCAGCTGAAACTATACATCAATTAAAATTTACATGGGGGGGTGGGGTGGGCTGTGATGGTGGGGAACACCAAAAGAAGATGCTGATATAACTCAGTGTGTGGGCAAAGAGTTAAAGGAGTTAAACAAGGATAAATATGAGTGGGCTTTCATACAGATTTAAGTTCTTAACAATCAAGCTATATATATATTGTAAACAAGTAAAGCTATAGAGAGAGGGGGTTTCCTTTTCTGCCCTTGTAAGAGAAAATAACAGAGAATACTGATTAACCTGCCCAAAACTTATATTTAGTATCATTTCACAGCCGATGTAAACAATATATGAAACTGGTTTACCGGTATATTTTCAGTTATATTTTCTTGTTGTTGACCTGTTCTAGGTTTTTATGATGCGTAGCTCTGTACTATACTTTGGGAATCAATTCAAAAAGCACAACCCTGATGCCTCAGGGCCTTCTGTGCAATCTAAAGTGCTCGTGGCAGTCCTGGGCATGTTGGCTTTTCCATCATTTTGATGGAGGTGCAGCTCTGCGGCTGCTCCAGGGCATATGAAAAGCTGCTCTGGCAGGGAACGAGGGAAGCCCTTCAAAGCAGGAGAGCATTAGGGCTGCTGCACCACTCATGTGGCTACAAGAAACAGCTGGATAAATAACTCTTAAGTCTGCTTTCAGACACTGTTCCCACACTAGTGTTCCTGGCATCAAACCAGGTAGTGTTACAGTACCAAATATCAAAGGAGGAGCACTTCCTGTTGCATTCCCATAGAGCTACTCTTACAGATTGGGTACAATGGTGTCTAAAGCAGAGATATCACCTTGCCAACAAAGGCCCGCATAGTTAAAGCTATAGTTTTCCCAGTAGTGATGTATGGAAGTGAGAGCTGGACCATAAAGAAGGCTGATCGCCAAAGAATTGATGCTTTCGAATTATGGTGCTGGAGGAGACTCTTGAGAGTCCCATGGACTGCAAGAAGATCAAACCTATCCATTCTTAAAGAAACCAGCCCTGAGTGCTCACTGGAAGGACAGATCCTGAAGCTGAGGCTCCAATACTTTGGCCACCTCATGAGAAGAGAAGACTCCCTGGAAAAGACCCTGATGTTGGGAAAGATTGAGGGCACAAGGAGAAGGGGATGACAGAGGATGAGATGGTTGGACAGTGTTCTCAAAGCTACCAGCATGAGTTTGACCAAACTGCGGGAGACAGTAGAAGACAGGAGTGCTTGGCGTGCTCTGGTCCATGGGGGTCAGGAAGAGTCGGACACGACTAAACAACAACAACAACAATGGTGTCAGGGACCGTGCTGAGGAGGGTTGCACTGAGGAGGAATGGTGGGAGCCTCCCTCTCCCCTTCCCCCCTCCTGATCAGGACCCTGAACCTGCCCAGGAGCAGGAGGACAGTATAGATTTGGAACAGTGGTTTACAGAGGGACATAGTTCAGAAGGCAGAAGCTGGGAAATAATGGGTGGGGAACAGCTAGGAGAAGAAACACTGGAAGGGAGGGAGTTAACAGATTCACTGTCTCTGGAAAGCACTCGTCTGTTCTCCCCAAGGTCAAGAAGAGCTGAGAAAGTGGCAGAACAGAATGCACAGAGGGTAGAAGCTCAGGTTACAAGACGTAGGAGTGACGTGGGTGACTAGGGACGTAAGGGGGTGGAATTCTTATTTGGGAGCACTGCCATTCCTAGGAGATGGGTTCTTTGTTCTCTTGCTGTGATCATTAAAGTTTCTAACTGGTAAGAAGACTCCTTTTCCTTTGTTCTGCCTATCTGCTGCCACGGGGGGAGGAAGCCAATTCCCCGAAGTCTGACAAATGGTAGCTGTGCCAATTCTTCTGACCCTGCTAATTAGTCTGGGCATCTTTGGGGTGGTACCATGTAAACATATGGATTGTGTGCAACAAGGAGTCCAATTATTCTGCACTAAGTTGCCCCAAGTTATTACATCGCAAAGTGACCCTCAACTAATGCTCTGAATTTGAGTGTGTTGCTCCCTGCAAAAAAAAAAAAAAAGGCCTGGAGTTCAATATGAACCAGAATATATAAATATGAACAGTGGTTCTTTGATGCTGTTTTCTTGTCCCTTGTGAGGGGGAAGGAAAGTCATCTAGGTCTGTGTTTCACATGCCATGGTAGGTCTGGGATTTGGTGTGGGAGGTGGGAACCTGACTCTTTAGGAGGCGGAGTTACGGCATTAGGAAAGTGCATAGCCTCCAACACTTCAACAGTAAAATCTGGGACACCAACTTCTCAGACACCATCTTCCCATGGGAGAACGGCGGCCATTTTGGATGCTGTGCTCTCCTGCGCTTTTGCGAAGCACTTTTTTGAGCACAGTACCCCAAACCACACATTTTGGGGTGCTGTGTTGGGGGGAAATCATGGTGCGAAACATAGGAACCAACCCCTAGGGGCCATGGGGGCTTTGGCCCACACAATAAAATATTGTGGGTAGCTTGCATCATTTCTTAGAAATAGAGGAGAAATAGAGGGAACGGCTCCCTTGTTCCCTTACAATGGCAATGGCGTCCCACCTGAGAGGTGCCAGAACTGAGTTCTAGTGAGTTACAGCTAAAAAAAAGTGCCTCCTCAATATTCCTTTTGCCCCCCCCCCATTTTTCACTGTGATTATGTTACTGTTTTATTATTCTTGTTTTGTTCTTTTATTGCTTTGCTGTTTTCCTTGCTTGATTTTTAAATTATTCCTTGCTTCGAGAATCCAAAAAGCAAATCATACATTTTCTAAAAGAATAAAGAAATGCTTAACTGTTAAAACCACATGCAGATAGAAGCGCACATGCATTTCTTCACCCATCGAAAGATCTTGTGAAGTCTTGATGATGCTATAGCTGCAGAGAAAGAGAAGTGTATTTGTGTATGGGGCGGGGGAGCCTAGAAAGTTTCACGCTAGTAAATTATCAGGAAGCCTGACACTCTGCAGAGAAGAGATTTCCATATACAGTGGTACCTCAGGTTAAGAACTTAATTCGTTCTGGAGGTCCATTCTTTTTTCTTTTCTTTTTTAATCAATTTTTAAAATTGATTTTCCACATTTATCACAAAATGACATAACAAAGAAACACAAAACACACATCCAAGAAAAATACATCACAATACAATAAAATTAAACACAAAAAGAAATTATTTCTTCTAATACCTAATTGTCATAACATTGATAACTGACTTCCTCGAATCCCCTCTAACTGAATTTCATTATATCACATTTATAACAGTTCTCCAAGTTCATATTTCTAATAATATTAACTCTTTTCACTGGAGGTCCGTTCTTAACCTGAAACTGTTCTTAACCTGAGGCAACACTTTAGCTAATGGGGCCTCCCACTGCCACCACGAGATTTCTGTTCTCATCCTGAAGCAAAGTTCTTAATCCGAGGTACTATTTCTGGGTTAGCGGAGTCTGTAACCTGAAGCGTCTGCAACCCGAGGTGCCACTGTATATAGATTTAAAGCATCTCTAAAGAGAAGTTGACATAAGCTGCAGGGAATGTTCCTCAGTCTCTAAGGTCTATCTCCAAACGACGTGCCTAGGAAACACGATTTTCAAATAACCTTTCCAACAGGCCAGAGAAGGTCTAGAGGCCCTCAGATCATTCAAGAAGTCATTATGATAGCTCAGTCAGTAGAGTATGAGACTCTTAATCTCAAGGTCATGCGTTTGAGCCCCACATTGGGCAAAATATTCCTGCACTGCAGGGAGTTGGATTGATGGTCCTCATGGTCCCTTTCAACTCTACAATTCTATTATTCGATTACACAATTTCTATAAGGCGTGTGTGATACAATTCCACACTAAATTGTGTTGGGAAGAGTGGCAAAAACTGAACTCTTAGCACAATGATGACCTCTAGTGGACGTAGAGAGCTAGCTGTATCACAAGGGCGGCCGGAAGGGCAGTTGCAAGAAGGCCTCCTCCTCGCTCCTCCCCTTGTGGGTTTGGAGAAACCATAAGAGCAGTACTTGTGACTTTAGCTAGCAAAGAGAGGGCACTCTGTTCCCAGCGGCAATTGACGTGCTGCAGGCACCACCAGCGGACGGTCCCCCATCTCAGAGTGATTGATTTTGGCACGAGAGTGGAAGGATGTCTATTTGTAACTTGCCGTTAGAGACAATGCCAAGCAGCTATCAAGTTTAGCAGCAAGCAGAAGTCTAAAGCATGCATGGCGGCACAGCTGTAACTGCAGTTAACTCTTAACATTCCCTGCTGATGGTGAAGAAATCAACCGGTAAAGGGACAAAGCATCTCAACCACGTCGTTTGAAGAATTGTACAGTGGTACCTCTGGTTATGTACTTAATTCGTTCCAGAGGGCTGTTCTTAACCTGAAGCACCACTTTAGCCGTATGTAACCTGAGGTACCACTGTACATCCCTGACTCTTAGAGCTCACAGTTCTCTTGTCCCACTTTTTCTTTTGCCTGGTCCATAATTTCTAGGCACACATCGGAGAGGTTTTTCTTTCATCCCACTGCTTTTCCTGGAAAAAACCCACTACAGTGGTACCTCGGGTTACATATTCTTCAGGTTACATACACTTCAGGTTACAGACTCCGCTAACCCAGAAATAGTACCTCGGGTTAAGAACTTTGCTTCAGGATGAGAACAGAAATCGTGCTCCGGCGGCGCAGCAGCAGCAGGAGGCCTCATTAGCTAAAGTTTTGCTTCAGGTTAAGAACAGTTTCAGGTTAAGTACGGACCTCCGGAATGAATTAAGTACGTAACCAGAGGTACCACTGTATTCACTGCTGAATCAGAACAAACGGGTTTTCTCAGGGGAATTGGTGGGATAAAAGAAAAACCACTCAGACCAGTGCCTAGAATTCACGGGACAAACAGAAGTGGGGATGGGCTCTTGAGTTGCGATCCTGCACAAGCAAACCCGGAACTAAGCCTCATTGAGCACAGTAGGGGATTCTGACACATAGGATCAGGCTGTTTCTTGGAAGCACCATTGCTATATAACCCAGGTGACAGCACTATGAAAAAGCAGCTGGCCAACATGTACGTTTCTGACGGCTTTTGGACTTGTTGGGGCACATTCTGCCTGCAGCACGGGGGACCCATTCAGAAGGTCCACCCTTGGAGACTGGTGGAATCTGATGGGTTCCTGAATGCTCTGGGGGATTTTCATGGAGATAGAGATGGCGATCTCGTCAAGGGTCTTGCCTTGCTGTGGAATGGCAATGTGCAAAGGGCTGTAGACTCAATTGCCCCTGAGTAGCCTCTCTAATGTTATTTAACAGCTCTAGGAAGACTTCGGGATTTGGAGCCGATGACATAAAATACACTGATGACACCCAACTCTATTTCTCTATGAGGTGGGGCCATGCAGGTATAAACTGAGCTTGAATCCTGGTCAGCTGGTGACCTTGTGGGTCTGTGAAATAGGTCAGTTGACTGCTCTGGATAGGGTTACGCTCTCTCTTAGACTGAAGGTGTTCCTGGATCCAGCCCTAGTGGATTGAGTAGCTAGGAGTGCGTTCTGCCAGATGAGGCCGGTGATATAGCTATGGTTCTTTCTGGGTCGGAATATCTTAGCTACAGTAGTCCAGGCATTGGTAACCTCCAGACTGGATTACTGCAGTACACTTGATGTGGGGCTTTCCTTTGGACTGGTCTGGAAGCTGCAGCTAATACAAAATGTTGTGCCAAGGCTGTTGAAGGAGGGTGCCATACGACAAGGGCATAACCCAGTGTTTTCCAAATTTGGGTCTTTCGGACTACAATTCCCATAATCCCTGACCACTGGTCTGGCTAGCTAGGGATTATGGGATTTGTAGTCCAAAAACAGCTGGAGACCCAACTTTGGGAAATGCTGGCATAACCCTTGTGTTGAAAGAACTGACCTGGCTACTGGTATGCTACCGGGCCAAGGTTAAAGTCTTGAAATTACCACATAAATCCCTGGGCAACTTTGGACTGGGCTACCTCTGAGAATACCTTGACCTGGTATATAACCTTTCTGGACACTTTGATTATCAGGACAGACAAACCCTTAGTAGTGCTGCACGCTCTGAAGTTTTGTCTTACATCCACTAAAACAAACCCTTTAGTGTGGTGCTGCCTGCCTCTTGGAATGTGTTCCCAATGAACACCAGTCCGTTATCTACAGTACTAGGGTGGTATTACACTACGTTTTATTCAGAGTAGACACACTGAAATGAATGAACATGTCTAAATTAGGGCCGTTAATTTCAGTGGGTCTACTCTGAGTAAAACTTAGTTTAATACCACATTTAGCATTTAGATGCCTGCTTAAAACTTGTCCGTTTACCAGGCTTTCCCTGATAAGTGATTCAGCTATGTTGATCCATTAATCTCAACTACTGATTTTTGAAGGATTCTTGCTTTATGAATGTAATTTTATTATTGATTTCATGCTGTTCACTGCTATGATGTTGTTTCTTAACGTTGACAGCATAGATTTTTTTGTTTTGTGAATAAATAAACACAGAAAAAAATAGTCCCGTTGTTCTGTTAATCTTCATGGAAGCTGCGCATTTATGCCAGGATAACCATAGTTGTACTAAATAAAAAATTGTCCATTAGCACCTTAGAGACCAACTAAGTTTGTTCTGGGTACAAGCTTTCATGTGCACAGAGCTCAACAGGAAGAACTGCAGGTTTTACCTTCCATGAAATGAATGGGATAGCAGAGTGCAACCAAGTCACTCTTCCCAACACTTCCTTCCCCTGTTGGGTCAGCTTAACGTAGTGTTCATAGGAGACTTTGAAAAGTGGTCTGAAAGGTAGGTGTTAAAAGTAACCCTCCATGGATTATCTTTTTTTTTTTTTTGCAGACTAATGTGTTTTTCTTCCACTGGGCATAATTTAATAAGCGTGAATGCAGAAGGAATCCAATTTCATACAGGGGAGATGATTGCTATAAGCGTGCAGGCAAACATGCCCGCCCCTTCGCCAGCATTCACTTCCCCTGCTGCCATTTAATAAAAGACAGGGAAGACAACCAAAGTGCGGGATGAAGCAAGGAAATCAAATTAGCAGAGACTTCAAAAATACACAAGGAAGCGGAGGGGGGGGGGAAGCCCACCGAGGATCTGGGAAACGCCACAAATAACAGCAGCTCAAAAATACAGTAGTTGATCTGCTAAATGGCGAGGGAGAAAGGGAATTCAATTACCGAGCCAAATTCCCCAAGAGCAATTGACTCCCTGGGTGGATGGAAGCTGCAGCTGGTGTGTCTTGAAGAAGCTGACGTGAACTCACTCGTGTAGGAAGGCAGTCAAGGAGGTGCGCTTGCTGCTAATCACATTTGAGGTTGTTCCAGTTTGGCATAATATAATATACGCCTTTCCTTTGCAAACAGAGTGGCTGGCTTTTCTCCTCCCTTGGGGAGCCCGAAGGGCATCTTCAAACAGGGGACTTCCCTGTACACACACAGAGAGTCCAATGGCTTATAAATGAATTGTTGTTTGAAGGGGATTGTGTTGCTTTTATTGTGTGTTTAATCAAATCAATTAGACCCAAGTCCGTCCAAGATTTCTTCTTCTTTTAAATAGTTTGTATTAAAGATTTTCTTGGATTACAAAATTGAATTGCGTTGTCTCTATTTTCCTGCCGTGGAATCTTTTGTACAGATTAGTTGCATTTGATGTGAGACATTAATATTGTATATGGTTTAAGGTTGGGGGGAAGAGAGTTGGGGAGAGACAGTGGGGGGAGAAGGTGGGTGGTAAACTTACTTTCTTTTTTTTAATTAGTGTATGTGTGAGGTTTTTGTGTCAGCTTCATTTGAATAGGTTCTCTTTATTCAAGTTTAGAAATCCTGGACGGACCGACCTGAGGTGGAATCTAGACACACACACAAAAAAACAACAACAACACTGTGAAAATGCTTTTTTAAAAAAGTATTGAAAAATATATTGAATTTGCCATAAGCTCAGCATTGCCATCTAGTGTCACATTTGTATAACACACTTAAAATGTTGTATTTGCAGCTGTATACCTGAGACCCAAGGGACACGGGTGGCGCTGTGGGTTAAACCACAGAGCCTAGGACTTGCCGATCAGAAGGTCAGAGGTTCGAATCCCCGAAACGGGGTGAGCTCCCGTTGATCGGTTCCTGCTCCTGCCAACCTAGCAGTTCAAATGCATGTCAAAGTGCAAGTAGATAAATAGCTACGGGAAGGTAAATGGCGTTTCCGTGCGCTGCTCTGGTTTGCCAGAAGCGGCTTAGTCATGCTGGCCACATGACCCAGAAGCTGTACGCCGGCTCCCTCGGCCAATAAAGTGAGATGAGTGCCGCAACCCCAGAGTCGGCCACGACTGGACCTAATGGTCAGGAGTCCCTTTACCTTAGACCCAAGTGCCAGTATCACTTGGGTAGGTCCAGGATTTGTAAACTTACATAAATAAGGTGGGGGTGGGGGTGGGAAAGCAGGAGTGGATGATAGAGGGAAGAAGAAACACTGATTCCACCCCTGCCCTTGTCATGCCTCCAGCATCAGAACCTCCAGCCCACCGTTAGGCTATTTCACAGGCAATCCATACCTGATTCTTTTTACTTTGTCCTTCTTCATTAGGGTTCTTTAGATTTTCCAAGCCCATATGTATGTATGAGAGGGTAGGTCATGGTGTGAGGCCTATATCTGCTTTCCAGATGGTGTGTACAGTTCCTGTATGAGTACAAACAGCAAGCACATAGCTTCATTCGTGTCAAT